AAAAGTATTTAACTTAATATCTACACCACATTAAGGGCTCTTTTAATACAGATACACATTTTAATACTACGTGATCTTAGAACTGCTATAGCAAAATATGTAAGCAATTTTATCATCTTCTCCATGAGGTGTAATATATGAAGTGTATTTCAAAGTGAAGTTTGATTCTTACCCTTAAAAATAACATTTGTAACTGCTGATGTAATTGTAATTGTCATGATTTACCGCCATCAGTCAAAATATGCTGGTGTGACAAGAATGGGCTCCCATATGATTTGTACATATGAGTATTGGGGTTAGTATATGGGACGAATTTGTTCTACAGGGAGAGCATTTAATGCTTTTAGCGCTTTGCCTCCATTCCCTTTGAATAAACATTTTTTTTTTTTAAATGTGACGAATGTCACCTGTACAAAGTAAGGGGAAGTGGACTACATTGCCCAGCGGGCTTCGACTCCTACATGGACAAAATTACGAAAGATTCCTGCTAGACCGGAAAGACTTGATATTTTTGGATAAGATATGGGTATATTCATGACCAGAAAAAATGTCTGCCATATAATCACTCCAGTGAGTATGTTAGGTGTGCAACCAACATTATAAATGCTTTGCAAAACATTGAACAGGAGTGAAACCTGCAAGTGTCCATGCATGTCCCTGAATTCAATTCTATTAGTACCAAAATTTAATGGTCTTTGAGGAGAAAGCAAAAATTAAAATAGGAAAAGAATTTAGAATAATGAACCACCCCTTTCGTTACTCTTACACCCCATTTCCATAGATTAGATCGACCTACTTTAGATCGACCTAACTCCCTGGGGGTTCACGCTAAATAGCTGTCAGCCGTGCGGACACGAAAGTTAATTACCCCCTTTACAGCTTGTAGTAGGCGGGAGGACATTTAAGCCGGATTATCTGACAGTAATCTAGTGAGACTCCCCGCGGGGATAGATCGATCTAAAATCTATGGGAATAGAGCCTTAAATTCCAAAGTGCCAGTGCCCATTCCTTGTGATATGTCTGTCAGAACCAAAAGAGAGAGCTTTCCCAATCAAATGGTCTAGGATGAAATACCAGGAATTACAACGTGTGAAATCCTGATTATAAGTATGTTTAAAAACCGATATGTCTTCACTCTAATGGTATAGGAGAAGATAGCATATTACAATGTAAAAAAATAACATGTCAACCATCTCCCAGGGAAAGCCCAACCCCCGTTGCACTAAAATCAAATTAGCTCATTCTGGGTCAATCATCCCCCCCCCCCCCCACACACACACACAAGAATGGAACAAAAACACATAAAATTGTGGTCCATCTCGACGGACAAAACAAACAAACTTACAAACGAGCAGAACAATTGACTTGCGACGATTTTGTCACAATTAAAATTCTTGTATGTCGACCTATATTCCCATATCGATCTCGCAGTGTGTTTTCTAGAAAGGTCGTTCTTTAGAAAACCATTGAATACTATATACCTACCCGACTTTATTCTATCACACGATCTCAGATTTTCAGGCATACACAGTGTAGTCTATGGTATTTCATGCATAACTGCGGTTAACTGATAAATTTTTACAGATATTGAAGTTCCATACAGAAACAAAAGACTTCAAATTCCATTTCACATAAAGTGTAATTTATTTCATAATTTTTTATACATACACATAATATCTGAACTATCTGTACATCAATTATATACACGAGGGAAGGTGTCAGCCGTGTCACCCTAAATATATCAACATATCTACTACATGTACCGTACACAGTGTACACAAATAGTATTAAAATTTCATACCACGATTTAATGCAATGCATATTAGACACTAGTCTAAATTTTACAAAACTGGTCAATTTGTAAGTAATAATCTGTCATGCAATTTTTCAATCAAACAAATTTAACAAAGCTAATGTAGCTTGCTTAAATAATTAATAAGACATACCCACCAATTTCACAGGCAGTATTTACTATATATATATATATATATATACATGGACATGTTCAGCTTTGTATTAACATAAAGGTTTTGGGACTAACTACAGGAAGTAAGCAACTTAATTGAAATCAGATAGCGTGCTATAAAGCCTATATAACATAGGCATAAAGGCATGTGATTTATCAAATGAATAAATAAATTGTCCTAATTTAACCCACCCACCTATTTCTTGTACCAGACAGTAAAATAGCACACTAACTTTCTGGAATAAGTCTGAAAACAAATTTTGATAAAACAATTCTGACCACAGCCTAATACAAGCATATGCCAGCAAGAAGCATTTAACTTACTATCTACATCTCGTATGGGGTTCTCTTTAATACAGATACACTATTCCGTATTATGACCCTGCAAAAAATATATATATATATAGCAAAATCCTTGTAAGCAATTTTCTCGTCTTTTACAGGAAGTGTAAAATATTATAAAGGTTTAAAGCAAAGATTGATTCATACAGTTAAAGATGTCATTTGTAGTTGTTGGTATGATTATAATTGTCACGATTTACTACCATCAGTGTGAATTATACCAATTAATGGAGAGCTCAGAGTCGCTTAAAAAATATGCTGGAACCACTTTTGAAGTTGTCTACAGTGATGTAGAAGTTCTTTGTTTTTTTTTTTTTCAATGTTCAATGTGTAATGTTATATGGTAAGGAAGATGGATATCTTATCAACATAAGACATACATTTCAAAATGATCAGAGAACATTTTCTTGAAAACCACAGTTTAACTTTTGGATAAAGTTATAGGTATTTTTTACAACCAGAAAAATGTCTCTTCTGCTGAAATAAATCACTCCAGTGAATATGTTAGGTGTGCAACCAGGATTACAACTGCTTCGCAAAAAAATAAACAGGGATGAGACTACTGCCATTTAGTGAAAATATGACATTGGGGCTAGGGGGCCATCTAGGATGATGAAATTTTTGACTCCAATAAAGTAGGAAATTCGTCAATAGTTGGAAAAATCTAATCCCTGAATAAACTGTGGTCTAATTGTACTTTTTGCTCTCCAAACACAATTACTGGTGATTATATTATTTATTCTACAATCACTATGTACTAATTGCTGATTGTGTTATGTGGTTAGTATCTACTGCTTCTTGTTCTTTTATCACTTACTGTTTCTTTTTAAATATATGTACTTCTATTGCACTATCAGCCTTCCAAATCCCTCTATCATTTAGTATATACACAGCAAATTATATGTCAAATATTTTTTGTTCTGAACAAATTACCTCTTTGGTAACTTGGTTCAAGGTTTACAATTGATATAGACAGTTATCTACATAACATCCATGTTTCCTTAGCTGGACAATTTTTTTTCCTAAGAAATCTTTCATGAACATATACTTTCAGGATCAGAACATTTTCCACTAGATATCAAATCATGCCAACAACATATTCATTCAGAAAAGATTTCTCTTAAAATTTTTTTCTGATGGTTTCTGAAACAGTTACTGTGCTGCAAGGTATCTCTTATGGATAACATTTAAATGTATTAGAGTAAAATTCCTTAATTCACAAATAACGTACTCTCCTTTCAGGAAATAAGTTTATAAGGATTTTAACTTTAATAAGCATATTAATAAAGTTGTGACAGTAATTTAAAAATGTGTAAAATTATGCCATCAAAAGATAATTCCTATGCATAAATTTCTTGCAAATTGCTGGACACCATGACAAATAATCTATATACAAACAGATTTAATCCAAATTCCACAGGTTCATAATCTTGTATATTTTCTCCCTTCTGTGCAACACAGATGCATTTGTAGCTATGAACTGGTTTTGGCTACTACAGCAACCAGAACTAACATGCACAGCGTATTGGATAGCAACAGTAACATACAGGTCTACCCCAAAAACCACTGTGCTCTATAAACATAGTGAAAAAAATCACAAAGCATAATTACATCTGATCTTTCCAAGAGACACTACAGTGGCTTATTGTACAAATAAGTCAAATGAAACATTAGGACATTCCATACTACCTAACCCATCACGATTTTAGTAAAAACCCAAACTGCATCAAATCATTCTAATTAGTACTTTTTTTGTAACATTTATAATCTTTCATAAATTTCCTGGCATAGAATTTGAAAACAGTATTGAATTATACTTTAGATTATCTCTGAATATCAAAATACATGTTTTCAGAAAAATAGAAAATATTCAATTGGGGAAAACTGCATCAGAGTCTACAGGTAAGCATCTATATCCTACCAAAAGTTATCTTTACATTTCATTAAAATCCACCTAAAAAAAGGTATCAGCTATATACTGCCAGAACATATAGCATTATCATCACCATAGCTTTTAAATAAGATACAATATATCTATTCTATTTACATTATATAATATAAACATATAACAGACCAATGATTGGCTTTTTATATGGTAAAATATTGACAAAAACGAATCCATGTAATTTTACAATATACACACCAAAAATTACAGACACCTTGATTCTTTGCAATTTATATATCCTATCTTCCACACATGATCTAGTTATTATACAAATATTTCTACGGCATGGACATTTAACATACAGAATTATAATCACCAATAGGTTATCATCATCATCATCATCTAGTGGGACGGGGTCATCTGAGCAAGATTCTTGACCAGCAGTACTCAGAGAAACACCAACAGATTGGGTTACAATTTTATATTAAGGACCCTTTGAGAATATCATCCCAGTGTTGGGCCAAACACAAATCTTGTTGCCATAGCAACATGTATTTCCACGTCTGTAACCATGGATATGACCATTTTGTTACCATGGATATGACCTTTGTCTTACCAAGCCTATTATAATCCTTCTAGTTGCAAAGTTTACAACCTTCCTTGGTCATGAATCTGTGTAGAGAATTTCACATTACATTATCTCTTAATTTAAGCAGTTATACAAGCTACATCTTGAAGAGCACATCTTGAGAGTTAAATTAAGCCTCCTTTGAAATTATCAGATTATTCAACTCTGACATAATTAAAAAAAAATCCCCACATTCAACATGTAATTTTGCAGTCAATTGTACTTTGAATCACTGTAAGTTTTTAACATGGCATTACACTGACAGGTGAAAATCCTCCACCTAAGATACTTTATGCTGGCTCTTCTGAGTTTGTCTTGACTAGTGTAACCATGGTAACATTCCTCATAAGAAATTATGTCATGGAATCCACCCCTTGTACTTTAAGTATATGTTTTTTACATGACAAAATATATAAATAAGCTTCAAAACATCCTTCAACGTAGAGTAATTTTCAAAAGGAGACAAACTTTTTTCCTTTTTTAAAACCAGAGTGTTGACTTTTCTGTCCTGAAGGTGATTCATGCATTGACACAGTCTTCCATCACAGCTGCCTTTTGTCAGTTTAAGAATTCTACATAGTTGGATGGGACCAGGCCTGTCTTGCCATTTAGAGTGCCCTCTAGCCACCCTGGCTCTTTTGACTGACGCACTGAATGGAAGAAAAAGTTAAACGCGTATTCATATGTTGCCACATCAGACAAAATGATGTATGTGAAGTAAAGTCGCAAAAATTCTACTGACTCAAGTTAGTAAGCACTTTGAACAAAATAAGCTATTACTTTATTAATAACAAGTTATTATTTTTTCACAAAATATAAAAATAGCAGCTCAGAATTATCAGGTGCAACATTTTTACTTGCTGACAATAAGAATCTCAATACTGGCAAAAAACCTTAAAAGGTACATGACAAAAAGAAAACAAGGTGATGGTACTTTTGTCAGGGACTTTGCCAAAAGAATTAAGCACAACTAAATTCTTTCATAGCTTGCATGAAAAGAACTACTTCTGTGTGTTATTTTCTTTGGATCTTGCATAAGGAAACAAATCACAAAAAGACCTTAAACAGACTTTGTGTGAACAAAGCTGCTTACTCACCATTATTTATGATCTGGTTTGGTTCAAAAGATAACTCTGTGTCATTCTCGGCTTCACAGGAATACAGTGTCCTTACCCTTCTGAAACAAGAAAAACATGAAAATGTGAATAAAAAGCAGACCTGTCTGCAAGTGTGTGCGTGCATGCGTGTGTGTGTGTGTGTGTGTGTGTGTGTGTGTGTGAAATTAAGGGAGCCACAACATGTTGCCCCACTTCTACATTGGCCAAAACATATTAAGATGAAATATCTAATATCTCTTTTCTTCTGTACGATATGTACTATCACGTTGCAAATGTTAACATAAACATATCTGCTCCTCTCTCTTAATATATGTCTGTACTTGCATTTGTTCTTTACAGAAATCATGTAAATAGTTGAGTCTTTGCCTGTGTACATTTTGTGCAATTACTAATAAAGACTATCAATAATCTCTGAGAGGTTTACAACAATCTGGGGTAGCGCTAGCAATTTTTTTCGCTTAGCCAAATCACCACATTTTTGTAAATTTGTTACCAAAATGGTTATAATTTGGCTTAAACATGTCAAATCAAGCCCTTTTTCTTTAGCCAATTTAAGTCAATCTTAGCATTTGGCTAAATTGACGAGTGTTAGCGCTACCCCAGACAATGTACCTTCTGCTGGGCACTGTGACCGTAGGTGTGGGGGGAGTCGTAGGGATGTTCCCAGTAGAGGAGCTCCTGAAAAATATGAAGTCAGTGAACTGATTAATATTTCAGCAAATAAATTAAAATAAATAAATAAATAAATAAATATTATCAAAACAACACGAAGAGAGAAATATATACACTTGTGAGAACTTTCCTTTTGATTCAGAAAACTAACTTGATATGCTTTAAAGGATGAATAATTTACATTCAATAAATTTGATGTGATGCTTGATGCTTAAGGTCTAAAGTATACTTAACAAAATTAACAAAGTAAAACACTGCAAAAGAGGTACAGTGAAAGCAACAGTGACATAAGGATACACCTATATTACCAAGGCACTTCTTAACATTAACCATCTATTTAGCATCAATATTTTTTATCTTTAAACATGGCTTTAGTACAAGTACTACATTAATACACCCTTCTTGGACTTTAACAAAAATGTCCAACTATAAGAGTGTATGAGGCATAAACCTTCACCAAAACTGTGTGTGGAAAGATGTGGGCAAAAGCGATTGGTGTAAGTCAGGAAATTTAAAACACACACTGAACAATACTACTCAAAGTGGAGAGTTAGTAACCATGCCACAAGAGGTCTTTTTATCAAGAAAAGCCCTACAGAGTCCAGGTGGCAGCAGCCAAGATAAGCTTTAAGTGTGCCACAAAAAGAGATGCCCCTCAGTTTTTCCAATGCATCATCTGTTAAGGCCAAATAACTGTACAATGTCATTCACATTATGAATATATTATGTAATACAAGCCATGAGTGTGCTCCCTAAATTTAATTTGTCTACTCATGACACATTATTTTGAATAAAATTACCTCATTTATAATTTTTTTAATTTCAATACTTTTTTCAAAGTGATAATAGAATCAAAAGACATCTCCAATAAGGCCATTCTTTAAGATTAAAACATCATACAAGTCCATAATAGAACTAGACCTAAACAAATTTTTATGTCAATTTATCACAAATGGTTTTGTACATGTCATCAGTGTAGAGGCTGTTAAACACTGACCACAATTAAAAAGAATTTTCCGTTATGAAAACTAGCTTTATTACTATTTTTACAGCTACAATGAAATAACTGACCTGTGTTAAATTTCTAGTATCACACACATAAAGCAAAGTAATTCCTTGGAAACCCAGAAATCAACATTAAGATGCCAACAAATTTTGCTACCCAAAACAATTTTACTGTCTTTTCTGCAAAATTGTTTTTCACAGTAAAAAGATGTGAATTGATATAAGAACAAATGAACACAGTCCAAAAAATGAAGTAAAATTTGCAATATTGTAGCAAAACATGTTGGCTGCATACAGCAAGAAAACCAGCAACCTTGCAAGTGCACATGTAACAGCTTTATCATTGAAAACAACTTTGTGAGGCTGTTGGGAACGAGTCACACCTCAAAACGACAAGGTGCACATGCCAATCACAGTGAATGCTATGGCACAACGAAAGAAAAGCCCTCTTTGATAACATACCGGCGCCGCTTGAACGAATTACTCCATTTCCTAAAGCTGAATAACAAGGGCGATCTTCAATTATTACTACCAGGCAACTGCCTAAGATTTAGGGATATGGCAGATCACAGAAAATATTGCTGTTACAACCATATAAAACTGACAAAGCATTTGTAAAGCAGTTAAAAGCACACTTCAATGGCCTGTTATTGTGATGATGGATCCAGGGCTCTGCTGGGGAGGGAAGGGTAAAGGCTGGAAAAATATTTCACCTCCCTTCCAACAAACACCCCTGGGACAGCTCCACAAAATAACTTTAGCTGGGAAATTGGTCTTAAACTTAAGACAAAAAGGTGTATCCGAGTTTGATCTAGTTTCATGATAATAGTCCACCTTTGTCTAAAACGTGAGCAATGTCTTTCGCAATAAAAGAGTCACAGTAAGTCATTTAATTAGACGACTACTGATATTTCTCAATTCAAAGTAGAATAAAATTTTGGTTTAAAAATTTAAGACCAATTGTTTTGGGCTATAGTTCTTTCGTGCAGTAGTACCTATGCCACAGCAATGTACAAACATCTAAGACCGCATTCACATCGAGTTGAGCCATGGATCTAGAAAGTCACGAACTAAATACAGTGGACGTACATGATAGAAAACCGCCTAATCTTTTAAAAGTCTCTCTGCCTCTCACATGCCTCTCCTCGCATCATCCCTGCGGGGGTACAGTCATTAAATCTCGGCTCCATTGGGACGACACATGGGGAGGCGTGTGAGAGGCGGGGAGACTATTAAAAGATTAGGCGGTTTTCCTTTCATGTACGTCCGCCATATTTA